CGAGTGTAGTCCAGTGTTGTGGTGAGGTATTTACTTGAAGAGCTGAATTGTCTATTATCGTTGCATGCTCTTACACCCATTCTCTCTATACATTGACATTTATGTTGTTGTATGCTATCATCTTAAAATCTTGAATTTCGTATGTTTGATGAGTAAATTTAATGAATTGGAATCACTTCATAACGAGCAGCTGTTTGCATCCCAACTACTGCACGCTGCATCTATGCATTTAGTTAATTCTATTATATTAGGTGATCGGAAAAGTAACGAGACATTGTTTTCCATTCCGTTTCGTAATTGCACTTTTCTCTTAAACAATTTTGACTTTTAATCCTCCTAAAGTTTACTATGCAGCGCTGATGTTGTGTATTCTACAAGATCAGATCTTTCTTCGTTGCTTCTCAAACCGTCAACCTTTATTATTCTGGATAGGCAATGAAATACAATTTGGACTGGTTTGCTTGAAAAATCATGAATAAACTTAAAGGCGATGTTAAAAAATTCATATAATTTCACCTTGAAAGCCGGCCGAAATCTCCGATGTGTTTCATGTTATTGAAGTGCCAAACTTTTAGCACCAGCGATAGGTTGCTAGATAATCAGACACTTCAAAACGGCCTGTGTGATCAATGCTAAGGTTTGGAGTAGAAATGTAAGACAAAACGAAGCAGATACGTAACCATGACCATTTATACGGTCAAATATTAAATTCGTTCAAAGCTATCATAGCAAACGAGCGTCTTTTCTCACCACTGCTTGGTTTCAATGCCTTTGGAGAATAAAGTATATCATAATCTTGAAAGATAGTTGATTAACAAGTCGTTATTATTTCGCAACATATAATCGGTATCGGTTGTTTCCCTTCTCATCAACCTTATTTCACATGACTTTCTTCACCACCCAATATCTAATTATACAAATAAATGTGTAATGCTATACGTATTGGTTGCACAAGTATTTGTGAATTTCTAAGTGTCTTCTATGGTTATATAAAATAGTTGGCATTCTTAACAATTTAACAATGGATAAGTGTTATTGGCATATATATATATATGTAAATATATATATATATATATATATATAAATTTATATGCATGCAAACGCATTTGTGCGTGTAACTGATTACCTCTAAGTGGTGTTTTGTTATTGAAGAGCTTGTATATAAAGTAATTTAGCACTCGCAACAGATATACTTATTGTTGTTAGTAACGCATACAACATAATGACTACTTTTCAAATATTCTGTGGCTTAGACGAACATAATACATCATACGAACTATCTCTTTCTGATTAAATTAATAATTTAGTTAATTATGTTATCTCTGGAAGAATGTATTACAAGTAAAGCCTTTCTTTAGAAATCGTTGCATATTATGGCTTCAAATGAACAAAAATGTACTGTTAAAAACGAAATCCTCAATTATATTGGGAATAGTACTATAAGCAAATAAAGTGTCGTTTTATTGAAGGAAAGATTTACACAAATTTACTTGTAAGGCCAAACAGCGAGTAAGTTGGTTTGAAAGTTCATAAGCTAAAGATTTGCTTTCAGCGAGAATACTTGAAAGTCGCTCAAATGTTTTTCTGCGCTCAGTGGAATGTATTGTTACCGAGGGACAAACTTCTATTTGCTGCAAATAAGTTCTCCTAACTTTGCGAATAAATTTCTGCAAATAGTTCTTCCAATTTCACTTATGAGACGTTGTGGGATAATATTTAAAAGAAGCACAAAATGGAATTTAACAGTTTTTTAAAATACCTTAAAAAAATAACTTTCGTTTCTGTTCGGTTTAGAAATAATTGTTCATCGATCACCAGGAACACATCGCCTCGACACGAAACTCATATTCTTTCGGAACGATCAGCAAAACATTTAACTATCAATCTGCTATACTTTAAGTGAAATATTTTATAGAATTTTTTGAAATGAATGCCTTTTTCATAGGAAATTTGTTGAGGCATTAATTGGACGCCTAATACATTTCTTTGCTTGAATTAGTAAATATTTATGTAATGAAATTCTTAAATTAGGGAAAATAAAACTTTCATTTACGTAAGCAAAGCACCGCGCATTAACATTCTGACGGACAATGCAAATTTCATTAACGTCCCCACTTTGACAATCAATTTATTAGACAAATTGTCATATATGTAATGAGTAGCCAAGTAGCACCGCGACTAAGAAATCATTGGCCGCGGTTTCAAATGTCAAGTATGGTGGAGTTTTCAGTACAGACTAATTTATGATCTAAGTTATCCGGTACCCCTTAAATCCATACCCTGTAAATTTATTCACAAAATGTGTAGACAAAAAATAATTAAATAAATAGACCATGAATGCCACAAAATTGGCAATGATACAGAATCAGTGCTTCAAATGATTATTAAAGTTATATGAAATTGAATGAAGAATAATAATAACATAACATTGTCTTTCTTCGTCCGCTGAATAACACAAATTGAATTGCTTCCTCCGTTGACGTCGAGAAATAATATATTGAAGTTGCGCCAGGTGAGCCATTTGCTAAGTTTACTAATGTTCCAGATAAATAAATGAATGAAGAGAAGTCATTGCGGGTAAATCTTGACAAGTGATTTTTAATTGACCATGAAATCGAAACGGTCGTAAGAACTTTTGAGGCTATGCAAAGGAGAAGAATTAATTTGATATAAAAATCAGTTACTTCCAATTTTGTTTTCAAGCGAACTCTTAACTAACATAAGAGGCGAGCTTTTCTCTATCTGAAGAGATAAAATTGTTTAGATATTAATTTTCAATATTATGGAGTGTTGAGTTAGTTTCTCATTAAATATTTATACACAACAAAAACGACGACAGCAGCAAATATTTTTGATTGTATGAAAGATATCGACTTCTAATGCGATGATTCACGCAATGAGTTTTTAGAAAACTGATTGTCATAACATTGCGCACCGTTTCGGTTGTCGTTAATGTTTATCTTATCAAGTTTGTTTTTTGAGCAGTATCTGATTTACCTGATAACCGATATTAAAGTAAGTTAGAAAGAATAAATAAGTCAATAAATACTTAAGAAGTAGAATAATACAAGACAAATAATTTTTCTGTCTGTTTATAAAGTTTATTATTATTTATTATTTTCTTTCTTTTTACAACACGTATTAATTAAACTAATTTTCAAGAAATTTCCGTATTAATAAAAAATTTTAATGCATAAATCTCAAAAAGCTGTATACCACACCCAATATTGTACTTAATACGGGGACCGCAACCTCTGCCGAACTTGCACATCTGTAAAAGATTTCCAAAATAAAAATTTATAGAAAAATCGTTACCTAAAGAAAAGAAAAGACTTCTTCTTCTGCTATTTTTGTTGAATTTTCTTGCATTCCCTGCTAACACTACGCGAAACGAGGAAAGCCTCCAATAATAATAATCTTATTACAATTAGATCGTATGGACAAGTGACATACCCCGTTACCTATATTTACAATAAAGTGAACGATTGACTATACACACATAATATATAAAATCATTTTTTTTGGCACCGATTATAGCTAGTAGTTGGCAAACAAGAAGCTATATTCAAATGAGAGAAAAGCTCTAAGTTTTTGTTTTCTCTACTACCGAGCACAACTGCGGACCCGTTCATTTGGTGTTGCAAAGTAATTTGCTTATGTGCAACCAAATTTTCCGATTATGGAATAAACTTTCTTCTAAGCAGAGTGATACATAGACTGATTTGAATAAATCCATTTGTCATGATGTCTGATCACATGTGCAGCTAATCACTTTGTACGGTATTTTTGCAAATGACAAGGACTTGAAAAATTTTTATTTATATCCTTTGTGCTAGATATAGAAATAGATTATTAATTAAAAACTTACTTATCTGATTGTTGTATATCCACCACAGAATCTTTAGCGAAATTAAAGAAATGTTTAGAAGCTTCGTCTTTGACTCCTTCTAGCCATTTTTTATCAGCAATACGTTCACGGGTCATAATTAAGCCGAAAGACGCATTCGGAATTTGCGGATTCGTGTAACCGCACATAAGAGCGTGTTTTTTGTCAGCACCAATTTCTAAAATTTTATATGTAGTCGGCTTTTCGTCTGTTAAGTTGTAAAGTACAGTAAATCCGTTGGGATTGGTGAGATCGAGAACATCGATCACCGCTTCTTTGGCAGTATTTATCAAAGTGCTATTTAAGGCGGCATGAGAGGTGGTAATCTTCACCTTTGTATCATTTTGTGTGAGAGCCACTTTCATTTCGACACAAGCAAATTTATGAGCAGGAGAACGAGATGCGCCGTACCAAGCACCCTCTAACTAATTATTATATAAAACAATTAAAGAAAATCTATATTTAGGAAATCTTAACTTACTTCCTTAACATTTAGCAGAGAGGGCGGTGTAAACTCGGGACAGGATACCAGATGGTCGTCATGTCCTGCGCCTTGTCCTTCAACGCTTAATACTAATACACTAACAACAGCCAGAAGAGTGTATAAAAATTGCTGATGCTTGGACATTTTTGTCATTTGTTGTTTTTTAATTGCTTTGACGAGTTTCACGTACGAACGCTGAAATGGCACTGAAAACTCTTTCAAGCATTTGCTAATAATTTATACGAATTAGTTCAATAACTATACGTCATGCTGATCGTGATTTACGTATGCACACATATGTGCGTGTTTCTGTGCGCAATATCAGGCTCTTGTCTTTTATCATTTTTTCATTGTTGGCCTTTAGTCTACGGCAAAAGGAAAGAAAGAGAAAACGAGAGACTGAAATCGGGAGGATTTTTGTCAGAAGCTTATGTGGTGATAATGACTGGTACCAGTAAACATTCATTCGCACATAACTTGTATTCATTTTTAATTTTTTGTTTTTTTTTTTTGTTTTCTTATTTTTAAAGTGGTGAGATAAACATTAAAGAAATTCTTAGTTATAATTGCTTATATCAAAAAGCAGAACTTTCGATTAATAGGCAAACTCATGGAAAGATAATAAATATATATAACAGCGAGCGCAATAGAAAATCTTCGCCTTTCTTTCCAATTTATAGCCAAACTTTTATGACTAGAGTTCTTTTTTTAGTTACACCTTTATTGCCTTGTTTCTTATGACAAATATAAATTTTGGAAAAAGCTTTTACTGTAATAAATCGGATTTAAAGGTTTATACTTTAAATAAATCGACTGTGTTCTAACATCCGTGGTTTCATTAAAATTATGTTTGTTTTTTTTTTTTTTTCTTTTGCAAAACCTCTATAGCTGTAATAGATGCGGATTGATTAACAGAAGAATGTAAGAAAGAAATCACTTGTGAAGTGATTAGTATACGTAATCTTAATTAGTGCAAAGGGGGACGACTTGCTCAAACGATGTTAGGATAAAGATTACGATTTCGAAACATTTAAGCCAAAGAACACGTTCCAAAATGAAGCAATTAGGTCTAAAACTATGCAGAATAGATAAGGTTAGGCTAGTTGAAGTTGAGATGGCAACTGCATCGCAGTTTGTCAGTGATACCGAGTCAATCAGGAGGGGAGAGCTGTCGAAACAAACTCAACACTTTGTATCGTCTTATCAGCAATCTGACACACATCTCGAAAAAAATCATTTCTCGACTTTTTGTCAGCAAACCAAGACAGGAGCATAACAAATGGATGGCAAATCAATCTTATTGGGATATCTGGATAGATTGCACGAAAGTCGTTAGAATTGGTCCCAAACATCCTATAAAAGCTACATGATGCATTGACATTCTCTCAAAGGTCGATGGTAAGAAGACATGGGATAACCGTGTTGTTGCGCTGCAAGTAGCAGTCGTTGCAAGGCTTTTGGGTAAGTTCCACGTCGGCATAATACTTTCTACTCTTCAAATGTTTGATAGTATAAATGTGAATTTTAAAAGTCTATTGTACGCGTAACTTCCATGCCCAACTGGTAATCAATAATTAATTTTCGTGAAACGAAGCGTGAGAAGATTTTTCCGAAAACCCAATGTTCAATTCGCCTCTAACTAATTTTAATGAACATTTTCGTTCTAGTTTACACAACTAGTTTGGAAATATCGCGAAGTATCATAGCATATAGTAAAATGTAACAGCGAAATTATTATAATATAATGCTTAAACTACCACGAGTTCGTCGAGTCTTTCTCTTGGGTCGTATCCTTGGGCCTTTCAAAGTGCGTAAGATTTTCTTTGTTGGATCTAAGTTTAACCGATGTTATAGTCGATTGTTAATTGAACTTTTTTAAATAAATTTATTTCAAGACTGTATTTTAAAAACTTTTTTTCAGCAGGGTGGTTGCGCTGATGGTTCTTTCCACAAGAGAACACTGCAAAATGCTCAATAAACATATAAACAGTTTCAATCATACATACATTAATCGGTTTTCCGGAAATGCCTTCGAGCTCGCAAAGTAACATTGGCCCTTAGTGGATTCTTATTCCTTCTTGCAATCAAATATCTCAAAATTGATTAGAGATGGTTAAGTAATCTTTGTTTTAGCCTGAAATTTGCGCATGAAATAACGAAGTAGTGAATCAGTATTGCATTGTTTTTACTGAACTATTATTTATGACAATGTGCTTTATTCGTAATAATCAATTAAAATCATCTGAGCAATATATTATTGTATTCCCCTCTCATAATTATGTCGTTACTGAAAAATTTAGAACAGCCTTATCTTCGCATGGCATCAATATTGCTGCAAAGGATTATTTTAGAGGGATGAAGGCTTTTTTAATTGTAATTTCAATTTGGAATGAAATTTTGATTCTTTTAGCAATCCGTATGAGTTGTCGATATTGAACATTGCGTACGTGTTACATATGCATTTCGTGTATAGGTCATACATTATCAAGAGACCACGTTGTCATTACTTCGCTTTATCTAGAAATATGTTAACGTCAATACGAATTATTTTGGCGCAATGTTATCTTGACAGCAAATTAATATTACGTTAATGCGAGAATAAATTTGTAATAAACATACGCTAGTAGTAAGTCACCGCATTGAAGAATGGTAATTAAAATGCAACGAAGTATTTAGAAATTACATTAACGATGAGTTCAGCTTAACTTTGGTATTGCGTGGAAGTTAAAGTGCAAATATAGGTAGCTTACAGGGACTAATGGCTAACGGCCTTGACTTTGAGGATACTTATCTTTTTAAATACAAAAATTTGCTAACTTTCCGACATTTCATTTATTTTTCAATTTCATAAATTAATAATAATAATAAACTAATAACACATTAATATTTTCTGAGGGGTGCTATTAATTTTATCGGATAAGCTCCTCCCAAAATTCGAGATCGTTGATGATTGAATTTAAAAAAAAGAAATAATTAAAAAAAGATTCCTGCCGATGCTTGACGCAAAAAAAACTGGCATACAAAAGACTTTTGTCGAGATTTAACGATGTTTCGACCAACAGCTTGACAGAGTTATATGGCATTCTATGGTCATTATTTTAGTTTATGTTAACAGTACTAGTGCAGTCAATTAAAGAAGTCAACTTTGTTATGACGGAGAAAGGGTATTGACAATTCACAATTGAGTGAAAATCAATTCATTCTGGGCATGAATGAGCTCGCTAAAGAGAAAAAATTAGATCCAAGGTAAATTCTTTGCTACAAACTGAAAATTATGCAATCTAGCAAATTATGCAATTAGCAACCCATGGAAAACGGTCTAATTAAAATTTTGGCGGAATCTATGCCTACGCTTACACCTACGACTATTAAATACCCTACACAATTTCAATTTTCGAGATTATATCCTGTTTACTATCGTAGAACTGCATACCAAAAATTCGACGTCTGTGCAAATAAAGGCACACTTTCCGTAAGAGTCATTATGACCAAGATGCTTCACAATTCAGCCTAATGGATCATTTTTCAACCTCAAAATATTAAAACTTACACTTTTCCGCTCTAAACAATAAAAATTTTCATGAAAACACCTATATAAGGTAGGATGCAAAAAATAAGTCGAGTAAGTCCAAATTTGCTACAGTGAGTTTTTTTTATTTTAAATTACTGTTTCATAATGGAGCGTTGAAAATTAGGTCTTTTTGTCTCAAGCATTTCGCTTCAGAGAGGCTTCAAGAAACTGCCTCATCCCGCCTAAGGTTTTCGCGCCAATATAGAATGTCGAAATAGTATTACTTAACCACTTTTCTCAAGAAATTCTAAAAATTGCAATTTTTGCCATATATATAGGAAGAGGGGAAAAAATGAACCGAACCATTTTCAATAACTCTCGTCGTCGGCTCAAAGTAGGTCAGTGTACCTAATTTCATCAAAATATTTCAGAAATTGGGATCTGTACCTTGAACACAAAGTTACATGAACAGACGTCAGACGGACAGACGGGCACAGAGGCGAATGGACTGGCTTAAAATATGATTCTGAATAGACCGGTATAAAGAAAAGTGGATTTATCTCAAGCCTTTGCGTGTTACATACGCCTAAAAAACCTTAACATAACCAGTACCTCAAGTGCTGTAGGGTGTAAAGATTTAACGCGAGAAAGTCACCAGAGTTGAAGTTTGTTCAAAAGCCGGAGAGACACGCAAACCTCTCTTGTAGAAAGCAAGCCGAATGTTTTAAATGTGACTTGGCTCACTTAACCTGCATTAAAAGTGACGACAAACTTCGAAAATGTGCTAGTAGTGGTTCGAAAATGTGCTAGCAGTTGCATTGTCCAGCTTTTTAAAAACATACTTTAAAACCCCACTTCACGCAGATCAACGCAGGACAAGCATAGTAGTAATTATTCCTTGAACCAAGAAGGGTTTTCTTCGCTTAATAAACAACACTCAATTACATATACTGCTGGTAATAATCTTTCTAATTACCAATACGTTGATATATCCAGCCAATACCAGACATATACTATGCATTAGGCCGTGGTTATAACTGCATAAATGGAATGCCTATAAAATGTTTAGACTCTAAGTCCTCATCTTAATATTTATTCAACAACAAATTACAATTCAGCCACTGTCCAACTTAGTGGAAATGTGCAGAAATGATTATAGGGGCTAAACCTAATAAGCCAGAATACGTTGTATGCTCATATAGACCGGTTTATTTCTAAAACCTTTGAGCAAATATGTATACAAAAGCCACTTACAGCTCTAGAGCAAATACTTTTTATCCCTTACCGCTAAATCGGTTTCAGGAATAAACAGGGTACCAATGAGCAATATTATCGTGTTGTTTCTTAGGAAGACATTGAAAATAAAAATCGGTGCGGTGGTGTACTCTTGGATGTATAAAAGGCCTTCGGGATACTTTTCGAACATAAAAGACTCAACACAACTCCCATGTATTTGTTGCTCAAGCCATATTTGCAACGCGACGTTTTCATGTGAGATTTGAAAATCCAATTCATATAACAATGAAAGTGGAGTGCTGCAAGGAAGCCTCCTAAATTCAACATTCACTTCGGGCTTTCCGAACGCTGTAAATGCTTTAATTGCGATAAATACAAATGACATAATAATCCTATTTTCATTTGGTGATCCCATGAATGCGTGTGCACGACCTACAATTTCATGTACACAAAACGGTGGAAAACACACCGTGTAAAATATCTTGGTAAAGT